AAGTTTCAAAATCTCCCCTCCCCCCACCGCATCCCAAAACCAGTCCAACTCGTCCCTGCCTCCCTAACCTGTTCTTCCTCCCACCTATCCCCTCCTCCCACCTCAAGCCGCACCTCCATCTCCTACCGACCAACCTCATCCCGCCCCCTTGACCTGTCCGTCCTCCCTGGACTGACCTATCCCCTTCCTAACTCCCTACCTACACTCACCTTTCCTGGCCCCATCCCCGCCTCTTCGACCTGTTTGTTTCCTCTCCACCTATCCTCTCCTCTATCCCTCTTCTATCCGCCTCCCACTCTCTCCCTATTTATTTCAAAACCCCCTTCCCCTCCCCCTTTTCTGATGAAGGGTCTAGGCCCGAAACGTCAGCCTCTCTGCTCCTATGATGCTGCTTGGCCTGCTGTGTTCATCCAGCCCTGCACCTTGTTGTCTCGGATTCTCCAGCATCTGCAGTTCCTACTATCTCTCATAAGTGACAATTGGTCATTTTTGCTTAAGCTAATCAAAGTCACTCAACTGAAAGTTGAGTAATTATGCTGCATTTGTGTTAAAGTTAACAAAATTGCATGAAGGCATTATGTAATACAAGGTGCTGTAAGTAATAGAGTAACGCATTTGTTTTTAAATGTCAGTTTTTTTGCTCCATGGCTAGATGAATTGTAGTTAACATTGAACAACTTCCAAGATTGCTTTTATTCCATCTTAGAAAAACTCTTGAGAAAATATCTCAGTATTATTATGCCTAATGTTTGGTAGGACCTAAACAAAATGTAATTTTCAACCAGTGTCGCCAAGGACTATGTGCGTCTGATGAAGTATGGTGATTCTCTGTACCGTTGCAAACAACTGAAACGTGCGGCACTTGGCCGCATGTGTACTATTCTCAAACGACAGAAACAAAGTTTGGAGTATTTAGAGCAAGGTAAGTGGCAGTTTCATTAACTTATGAGGGTTCAAGAGTATCTTGTCAGATTTTGAGAGGACTTTCAAAATCCATCCGATCTGTATCTCAGCATTTCTTTCTCTTTCAGTTCGGCAACATCTTTCTCGTCTGCCATCTATTGATCCCAACACAAGGACGTTGTTGCTTTGTGGTTACCCTAATGTTGGAAAATCCAGCTTTATTAACAAGGTGTCTTTTTTATTACTTAAAATAATATCTATAAAAGGTGTATATAATAAATATAACTTGCAGTATAGTAATTTAGCAAATTATTATAGTCATCATTCAGACCATCCTCTCCTTTTTTGACAAGTTAATTTGTCTGTTAGGGATTGTTTGTTTAACGTCCATGGAATTTGGATTATGTTGTAATCATGCTATACTTTTGATCTGTGACTCACGGGATGAAGTGTCATTATTACAGTTATTTCAAATGTACATTTGCTTGGCAGGCAGATTTACTTGAATATTGCGTATTGTTTGGTGGGAGTGTCAACTTCTTGTTCCAATGACAATATTTACCTCACAAAAACAGAAAGTGCTGGAGATGTTCAGCAGGTCTGGCACCACCTGTAGAGAGAAAAACATTTCAAGTTCTGAGTCCAGTGACCCATTGTCAAAACATCTATTGGTATCATTCTGTCCTGCCTATGTATTCCTTTCTAGCTCAACATGTATATTTTTCCTCCTTATGTCTGCCAGTGCCTAGTCATAAGTTTGATTTAGTTGGTGGGTTTTTAATCCAAGTGAGAAAGTTGAGTGGTCAAATTCCACTTCTAGACTTTAGTGTATTTATCTGGTCTGGCAGTTGAGTGCAGTACTGAGGGAGTATATTGCATAGATGTTATGTTCTATAGGTGGGTCACTCAATTAAAATTCTATCTGCCTTTTCAGCTAGTTCTGAAAAGTTGCCCCATTCAACAAACCAACAAAAAGTAACCAGATGTTCCTCTTATTTTCTGTTTGTGGGACGTGCTGTTTCATTTGGCCATCAAATTTTTGAACCAAAAACTTTAACTACTTCGAAAGTCTTTCATTTTTTGTAATCTCGGATCACCTCTGAGGCACTGAGCCAAAACTAATTTATTTGTATTACTGCAGACTGTCATCTTTTTATTCCAGGTTCTTGTACTAAAATCTTGTATTAAAATTGTAAATACATTAATTCTTTTGATAACACAATGTGGAGCTGGAGGAACACAGCAGGCCAGGCAGCATCAGAGGAGCAGGAAAGTTGATGTTTCGGGTGGGGACACTTCTTCAGAAATTTTCAGTGAACTTTCCTGATCCTCTGATGCTGCCTGGCCTGCTTTGTTCCTCCAGCTCCACATTGTGTTATCTCTGACTCCAGCATCGGCAGTTCTTACTATCTCTTAATTATTTTGATGCTTGTTCACAGATTACTCGGGCAGATGTTGAAGTACAACCCTATGCTTTTACCACAAAATCATTGTTCGTGGGACATATGGATTACAGATACCTGCGCTGGCAGGTTAGTATTCACCAATGTGTTTGTTTTTTTTGTAATGAATCTTGTGTCGGAAACAGTTAGACCTGGCAAAAAAAAAATCTAATTAGGGTGGCACGGTGGCTCAGTGGTTAGCACTGCTGCCTCACAGTGGCAGGGATCCGGGTTTGGTTCCACCCCCGGGCGACTGTCTGTGTGGAGTTTGCACATTCTTCCCATGCCTGCATGGATTTCTTCCGGGTACTCCGGTTTCCTCCCACAGTCCAAAGATGTACAGGGTAGGTGGATTGGCCATGCTAAATTGCCCGTAGTGTCGAGAGATGTTTAGGCTATGTGGGTTAGACGTGGGGAAATGCAAGAGTGGGATGCTCTTCGGAGGGGTGGTGTGGACTAGTTGGGCCGAATGGCCTATTTTCACACTTTGGGATTCTATGATTCTATGATATAGTACTTTATTGAAAGTCCTAAAAGTTGATATATACATGTGTGATTTGAATTCATGTAAAGAATTAAGCTCACCAATCATTTTCTGCTGCTTTTCTGATCTCAAGAAGGAGGTAGGAATATATAAAAACTGCCAATCTATAGCTTGGCAATGTCCCTCTCGTTGACTTAGGTCTGTGGCTCTTTACAGAAAATCAAACTTGAGGCCTCAAAAATGCAGAACTATGTCTCAGTTGCAGCATAAGACACTAATCTGAATTTAGAAAATGACATCACAATAATACAAGAGAGTTTCTCTCACTATAAGTATTTGAAAATGGTAACATTTCCCAGGTTGACGAATGTATTGGACTAGTTATTAGAGGACAAGAATGATCAGATATGAAAATATTCAACTGAGAACTTATTTTAGTGAATTGAGAAGCCATGTCAGACAGGTGGTTTGTAATCCAAGATTGGTGGGTAAAACAGCCGCTGTGTATTGGGAGACCTTCAAAGAGGCTATATTTCAGGTAAAGGCAAATTTTCACCGGTAGGAATGGAAATAGATCCTAGCATTGAGCTCCCCTGATCACTAAATCTATGAAGATTAAAATGAAAGAGGGAAAGGAAGCCTATGAAAATGAAACATATTGCAGTAAGGAACATAGCTAAATGCGGAAAGTACAAAAGAGAACTAAGGAAGGAAATAAATGGAGGGAACGAGTATGTATGAGAACAGATTACTGGATGATATGAAAAGGAATCTAAATTTTTTTAATGAGCGTATAAATAATAAAAAGTTAGTCGAAAGAACACAACCTGATTTAGGGACCAAAAAGAAACTTTAGAGTCAGTTTTAAAACAGGAAAAGAACCTCTTTGGCCTGTCAGGTCCATGCCAGTTTTGGAGACCCTGTATCTAATTAGATATTCGAATTCCATTTCAGGCATTTGGCCTTCAGGCTTTTATCCTATGATATTTAAAGAGTTAATTTAAATGCATCTTAAATGTTGAGTGTTCTGGTCTCTACCACCCTTTCAGGAAGTGACTTGCAAATTAAACCTCCTGGGTGAAAAACAATTTTCTTCATTCCCACTGAGCCTCCTGCCTCTCATTTAAATACGTGTTTCTGTTTACTGACCCTCTAGTAAGGGAAAAGTTTCTTCCTATCTTCCCTAACTGTGCACCTCCATTTTATGCACCTAAATGAGATCCTCTCTCAGCCTTCTTTCTTCGTATCTGAAACATTGCAGCTCAGGTAACATCCTGTGAATGGAGAGGTGATGGCCTAGTGATTTAATGGTCACTGGATTCATAACTCAGTGACCCTGGTAATGGTTTGTCCTAGTTTTGACCCCCACCACGACAGATAGCAGAATTTGAATTCAGTTAAATGTCCAATGATGATCATGACGCCATTTTTAATTGTCATAAAAACCCCATAAGACCATAAGATATAGGAGCAGAATTAGGCCATTTGGCCCATCAAGTCCTCTCTGCCATATGTTTTTCAACCCCATTCTCCTTCCTTCTCCCATAACCCTTAATCCACTAACTGGTCAAGGATCTATCTATCTCTCAAAGACATTCAATGACTTGGCCTCCATAGCCTTCTGTGGCAATGAGTTCCACGGATTCACCACCCTCTGGCTGAAGAAATTCCTCCTCATCATCTCAGTTCTAAAGGGCTGTCGCTTCACGCTGAGGTTGTGCCTCCAATCCTAGTTTCTCTTATTAGTGGAAACATCTTCTCCATGTCCACTCTATCCCAGCTTCTTGGCATCCTTCTATTGGATCCAATATTGAGTCAGTAGGAAGAAACTTTGTTATTATAAGCCTGGTATTGGATATCTGCAGCATAGAGTACCATTTCATATTCTCTAGCTTTTTGTTCTGTGTGTCAATGTTTTAGTCTTGAGTGTAAGGTGGTTTACAGATGAGACAAGAATTTGTATTTGTTACTGAGGAAGAAAACTGTCGTCACAAGAAAAATGCATCAGTGCAGTAGTCAGGTGGGTAGAAAAGTTGGAAAGGAGTTGACCCATGATTCTGGACCCATGAAGACTTATGGTGTCAGGTCAAACATGGGCAAGGAGAACTCCTGCTGGTGACCATGTACTCCCTCCCTCCCATAAGTTGCTGAATCAGGACTCTTCCATGCTGGGCACCACTTGGAGGACACAGTGACGGTTGCAGGATGCAAAATGTATTCTGGGTGGAGGAGCTTCAATGTCCAATGAGTTTAGCAGCATTACTACTGACCAGACTGGTCAACTGCTAAAGGATATACCTGCTGGATTGGGCCTGTGGCATCTCTTGAGGGAACCAGCAAGAGGAAAAGCTTACTTGATCTTCTCCAGTCTATTGGACCAGATACATTTGTCCATGAAAGTATTAGTAGCTGTGACCGCTTCACATTCTTTGGAGAAACAAAGCTTTTACCCACACATTGACAACCCCTCTATCATGTTGTGTGGCACTGTCACCATGATAGATTCAAAACAGATCTAACAACTTGAACTTGGGCTTTTCTGAGGCTGCAGTTCATCAGCAGCAAAATTGTATTTAACCACAATTTACATCATTGCTTGGCATATCTACCACTCCATTAACACCAAGTCAGAATATCAACCTGGGTTCAAAGAAGAGTTCAAGAGGACATGCTAGGAGCACCAGACATAACTAAAAAATCGGGTTTGATACTCGTAAAGCTATAACACAGGGCTGCTTGCATATCAAGCAATGCAAATAGCATGCGACAGATAGAGCTAAGCAATCCCACTACCAACGGATCTGATCTAAACACTGTAGCCCTTCCACAACCAGTCTTGAATGGTGATGTACAATTAAACAATTCACTAGAGGAGGATGCGTCACAAATGGCACAACCCTCGATAATGTATAAATGATTTGGATGAGAATGTAGAAGGCATGGTTAGTATGTTTGCAGACAACACCATAGTAAACAGTGAAAAAGGTTTTCTTAGATTTCAAAGGGATCAGAATGGGTCAATGGGCTGAAAAATGGCAGAAGGAGTTCAAACTGGGTAAATGTGAGGTATTGCAGTTTGGTACAACAAACAAGAGTAGGGCTTATATAATTAATAGTAGTGCCTTGGGTAGTGTTGTAGAACAGAGGGACCTACGGGTGCAGGTACATAATTCTTTGATCTTTGTGTCATATATGGACGGTGGATAAAAAGGCATTTGGCACGCTTGCCTTCTTGCTCAGTACATTGAGTATAGGAGCTGGGAAGTCAAGTTGAGGCTGTACAGGACATTGCTGAGGCCTCTTCCGGAATACTGTGTCCAGTTCTGGTCGCCCGGTTATAGGAAGGATATCCTCCAGCTGAAGAGGATTCAGAAGAGATTTACCAGGATATTGCTGTGTGTCAAAGATTTGAGTTATAAAAAAGGCTGGGACTTTTTTCACTGGAGTGTAGGAGGTTGAGAGGCAGCCTGAGAGAAGTTTATAAAATAATGAGAGGTATAGATAGAATAAATGATCGTTGTCTTTCCCGAGGATGGGGGATTTCAAGACAAGGGGGAACATTTTTAAGGTGAGAGGAGAGAGATTTAAAAAAGACCTGAGGGGCAATTTTTTTACAAAGAGGGTGGTTCACGTGTGAAATGAACTTTCTGAGGAAGTGGTGGATGCAGGTACAATTACAATGTCTAAAAAACATTTGGAAATAAACATGAATATGAAATGTTTGGAGGGATATGGGCTGGGAGCAGGCAGGTGAGACTGTTTAGTTTGGGATTATGTTTCGCATGGACTAGTCGAACCAAAGGGTCTGTTTACGTGCTGTATGACTCTGAAGAAGCCCAATATATCAGTGAAAAATACAAGGGTGAAGCATTTGCAAACATCTTCAGCCAGAAATGTGGGGTGGATGATCTGTCTCAGTCTGTTCCTGTGGTACACAGCATCCAACCAATTCAACTTGTTCCACATGGCATTAAGAAACAGCTGAAGGCTGCAAAGGGCTTGGGCCATGAAAACATTCCAACAATAATATGGAAGACATGCTCCAGAACTGTCTACACCCCGAATCAAACTGTTCCTGTTCAGTTACCACACTGGCATCTACCAATTATGGAAAATTGGAAAATTATCTAGTTTTCTCCTGTGCTGAAACAGCAGGACAAATCCAACCTGGCCAGTTCTAACCCTAACAGTCTACTGATGGTTATCAGTAAAGTAATGGAAGATATTATCAATTGTGCTATCAAACAGCACTTACTCAATAATAATTTGCTTATTGTCACTCAGTTTGGGTTCTGCCACTTGGCAGCTCACCTCATTACAGCCTTGGTCCAAGCACAGACAGAAGAGCTGAACATCAGAGGGGAAGGGAGAACTAAGAGTGGCGTCAAGGAGACTGAGCAAAACTGGAACCAATGGGAGTTGGGAGAAAGCTCTCTCTGCTGGTTGGAGCCATACGTAACACAAAAGATGATGGTTGTGGTTGTTGAAAGTCAATCGTGTCAGACCCAGGATATCACTGCAGGAGTTCTTGGCATAGTGTCCTCAGCCCACTCTCTTCAGCTGTTTCACGATTGACCTTGCCTCCATCGTAAGGTCAAAAGTAGGGATGTTCTTTGATGGGTATGTAATGTTCAGTGCAATTGCTTCTCCCCAGACACTAAAATGTGAACAATATCCAGGTTTTAGGCAGATATTCTGCTTGTTCTGGTTCACAATGATCCACCCTGATAATTCTATGTATAAATAATATGAAACTGAGAGGTTTTCCTGGCATTATCCTTTTCTAAAGAGCCAAAATCTTATTTTCTGCTTAACAACTTTTTTTTGTGTTTTTTTGTGGTGTCAGTTGTGAGTCGTCTTTACTGGCTCAGGATTGCATTGATGTGTTCGATGTTTTATTCAATTCTTAAAAGAAAAGTATAATCTTGAGGAAAGGGTTGTACTGAAGTTGAGAATTTTCCTGCATTAGGTAGTTGATACACCTGGAATTTTGGATCATCCATTGGAGGAACGGAATACCATTGAGATGCAGGCGATCACTGCACTGGCTCATCTCCGTGCTGCTGTCCTATATGTGATGGATGTGTCAGAGCAGTGTGGCCACACTGTGGAGGAACAGCTGGAACTCTTTAAAAATATTCAACCTCTTTTTGCAAATAAGGTAAAATCTGTGTTTTGAACATACAAAATTTCGTTTTAACTTTTAATAGTTATTTCATTGCTGTTTGGACAACTTTGCTGTTTTCAAATTGATTGCCTATTTCCTACATTCTGAAGACCATATTTTTAAAGTAATTCACTGGCAGTAAAGTTATCAGGACATTATGATGTTGTGAAGACACTATATAATGCAAGCCGATCTTTCCTTTTAATCTTGTTCTCATTTGACTTTTCATTTCATCACGTGACCGATGACATGCTTAGATTTGGATCAGTTTATTGGTACAGAAGTAACTTGATAATTAAAATTTTGATGGAAGGCAGTTCAGTGATTGAAAGCATAATAATGTATAAATGAAAGAGATTTAGAATGGCAAACTTAATTTTGAAGTTGTGGAATACACAACCATAATTGGTGATTTTGTCAACTTTGATTTTGTTAAAATTATTTCCATAGCGGTTTTAAAAAGGGATTAAAATATTTGTAGGGGAATAGAATTAAGACTAACACTCCCAAGGAGGTTAAATATGGTCACCACCACACGTACCGCTTATAGGGTGCTATATAATAGTGGTTATGTTACTGAACTAGTAATTGAGACCTGGATGATTAATCCAGAGTCATGAGATAAATCCTACCAGGAGGCAGGGGAATTTAAATTCTCTTAATAAATTAATTGGATTCAAAAAGCTGGTATAAGTAATGATGGCCACGCAAATAACGGATGGTCATAAAGACCCACCTAATTTGCTGATATCTTTTATGGAAAAATGCCATCCTTATTGGTCTGGCTTGTATGTGACTCCCAATTGTTACCATTCTGGTTGACTCTTAACTGCCTTAAAATGGTCTCATGAGTCAGTTAGTTCTACCAAATTATTATGACAAAGAAAAGGAAGCATTCACCATCTGCAGTTGGTCAAGAAGGTGGCTTACACCCAGCTGCTCAAATTATGAATGGGTATTAAATGGTGACCTTGCCAGAAACGCCCATATTGTGTGAATGAATTAAAAACAAACAAATGACTCCTTCATTGTTCAAAATCATTGCAGTTCTATACATGACTTTTCGATCAATGTATCTGTATCCAAGAAAGATGGTTTATTTTGTTTCACTAACTCACTTTATTGTTTCAGCCCCTCATTATTGTTGCAAATAAATCTGATGTAAAGAAGATAGATGAACTTACAGAAGAACAGAAGGTTAGTACCTTTTTATGGATGATGGTGTGCAATACAAATCAGTTAATAAAATAACTGGATTTAAAACCACTTTTAAAATCAATATTTGCTCCATATTTGCATCTCTTCTGAATAGCAACTTTCAATCACCAAAACTAAATTCTTGTTAAATAAAAATACTTTAGGTCTTATCGAATCCTTAGAATAATATTCATGTTGGCCTATTTATTTCAATAGATCTAATTTTTTTAAAAAAGCTTTTCGATTTACATTCATTTCCTACAAAGCTGGAAACCAGTAGCTGTCAATCACATTGATAACAATGAATTGGCATAAAAATTGAACCAGTTCTCTTATTCTTTAAGGAAGAAATTTGTCCTGCATCATTCCGGTTTATATGTGACCTCGGACCTCACCCGGTGTGTACCGTGTGTGACATGCACAGTAGAAAGTCACCAAGACTCCCTAGCACATTCCCAACTGATAATTACTACCACCTAGAAGAACAAGGGCAGCAGAATACACCACTTGCAAGTTCCTCTCCAAGTTGTTCACCATCTTGACTTGGAAATATTTTGCTGATCCTTCAGTATTGCTGGGTTAAAATCTTCGAACAACTTCCTTAACGGCGATTGTGAGTTTGCCCGTACCAAGTGGACTGCAGCGGTTCAAGAAGGCTGCTCACTAATATCTTCTCCAGGGCAATTAAAAGTTGCAGTAAATCCTGGCCTATCAGCAATGCCCACAACCCTTGAGTGAATAAAAAGCAAAGTCAATAATTACCACCATCCAGATTTGAGACAGTTTCTAAAACATTCGGGGAGTCTGGTCTTGTGTGGTATTTATCGTAGGGATTTTTTGAATGTTTTCTCAGCATTTGTGAAGCTGTCATCCACAATTTTATCCAGTTTCTATTTTAATCAAATGCTCCTCAGGACTTATCATCACTTGAAAGCTGAGAGTCAATGAGGCATGTTGTGAGATCTCATTGAAGTACTGTGACTATTTAATCGCAATTATGCTTTATTTTTTCTTACAGAAAATCTTTGCAGATTTAATGGCAGAAGGGATCACTGTAACAGAAACAAGTACTTTGACAGAGGAGGGCATCATTAAAGTTAAAACTGAGGTGCGTTTTCTGTTTTAGGGCTATAACATTTACGCAATGATTAGGGTGTCAAGAGCAAAAAGATTAGCTTTACTTTTTTGTACAAGAATGATACAGTAACAAGGTAGGATGTATGGTTTGTAAAGCTGATCTTGTACATGATGCTACTTTGCTGAATGAAGTTCAAAGGCCATTTCCACCCAGTTTTAATTGAGTACTCGTATTAGATAAATTGTTCTGATTGTTCTTAGCCATAGTTATTATAAACTAAACAAAGTGACTTGCTACCCTCCAATCTTTACTGGGAGGAGGGTAAAATGAAAAAATCTGAGAGTGGAACAGAAGTTGGGGCTGTTAAACTTGGAACTCGGTTAGATGGAGACAGTAGGATTTACAGTTGAATTGGAAGAAGCAGTTTCAAGAGTTCCTGTTATTATTTTCTGTTAACGTTTTGGGAAACTGGATTGCATATTTTTAATCAACCTGTTTAGACAATTTTTGACACACCTTTGGAGCAGCTGGGACTTTGCATGCAGTCCTTTTGATCCAGAGTTAGGGATACGACATTGGACCACAAGGGTCCCTGGATACTGGACTAAGCTGCTTCCAAGTATCTGATCAATCCAATTATTTCAAATTAGTCATCCAAAGGTTTGCAATATTGAGGATTGAGTCACTGGACCCAAAACGTTAACTCTGTTTTTTCTTTCACAGATGCTGCCAGACCTGCTGAGCTTTTCCAGCAACTTTGTTTTTCTTCCTGATTTACAGCATCCGCAGTTCTTTCATTTTTTTATTGAGTTAATATGTGATTATTTAGGTTTTCATTGTTGAAGACTTTGCTTTTGAAAAAGCAATCTTAGTAAATCAGTTTTAACAAACCTATTTACTTAATGTTATTAGGCATGTGACAGGCTTCTTGCTCATCGTGTTGATAGTAAAATGAAAGGCAAGAAGGTGAATGATTTACTGAACAGACTACATCTAGCTGTTCCATCAAAGAGAGATGAAAAGGTGAGTTAAGCGTAGCTTTGTTGTAATATTGCAATCAATAACGATATTTTAATCATATATTGAGCAACAGCCATTCAACATAGGTTTTTAAACAAATGGTCTAATTTTATGGAGATGTGACCTGTGATTCTTGCTTTCCCTCCCCTTGTCCTGTTTGACTTTGGAATTACTCAACTTTCTTATCTTGTTGATCCTAAAAGTATGATTTTTGACACTATTGCATGATTGAAAATAGTTTCGCCTTGGCATTCCAAGTTAATTTATCCATTTGGCACTTTTTCATGTCTAGGCTTGGATGGTGAATGGGATGCATAGTGTCCTTGTTCTCATTTGTGTCTTAATGTAATGTTCATTCTTGAGTCTTTCTAAGAAGTGTTACTTTAGAACAAACTGGAGGACATAAGTTGTAGGAGCCGAAGTAGAAGTAGGCTATTCAACTTATCAAGTTTGCTCCGCTATTCAATGAGATCATGTTTGATCTCATAATCTCAACTCCAGTTTCCTGTCGTTTCCCTTTATTCCTTCCTGATTAAAAATCAATTTATCTGAGCCTTGAGAATACTTAATGACCCATCCTTGACAGCACTCTGTGGTAAAGAACTGCACAGATTCACAAACTATTGAGAGAAGAAATTCCTCCTAATCTATTTGTTAAATGCCTAATCTGAGGTCATGCCCTCTGGCCCCGGATTCTCCTATAAAGAGAAACAACCATTCTGCATCTACCCTATTAAGTCCCTTAAAAATGTTTAACTCCTCCCATTCTTCAAAATTCCATTGAGTACCACTCCAAACAACTCTGTCTTCTCATATAACACTCCCTCCATACCTGGTATCAGCCTTGTGAACCTTCCTTGGATTGCCTTCAATGGCAGTCTATCTATCCTTCAGTTAGGGGTTCCAAGCCCTTTATAGTACTGCAGCTGTGGTCTGACTAGTGCGTTGTGTAGTTTTAACTAAGCCGCCCTACATTAATACTGCATTCTGTTTGAAATAAGGACAACAGTCCATTTAGTTTCCCTATTACCCACTGATCTTGTATGCTAGCTTTTTGAGATTTGTGGATGAGGACTCCCAAATCCCTCTCTCCTGCCACTTTCTGCAGTCTTTCTGTATTTAAACAATATTCAGCTCCTGCCATAGTGCAAACCTCACATTTCCTCACGTTATATTCCATTTGCCAAGTTTTTAACCTACTCGCTTAACCTGTCTGTATTCCCCTGCAGGCTGTTTGTGTCATCCTCACCTATTTTCATGTTATCAACAAATTTGGCTTATAGTGCATTCACTTTCCTTGTCCAATCCATTCATTGGACATATATTGTAAATAACTGTGGCCTCACCACTGATTGCTTTAGCACTCCACTAGTTAAAGTGAAATAACACTCCTATCCCAAGTCTCATTATTGTATTGGATGGTTAGTTATCTATCCATGCTCACACTATTTTGCTTTGTCATTTTTAGTAGCCTCATGTGTTATCAAAGGCCTTCTGAAAATCCAAAGATATTACCCCCACTGCTTCCCCTTTACTTATCCTATTTGTTACTCTTCAAAAAATTCTAGTAAATTCATCAGATGTGGTTTCTTCTTCATGAAGCCATCCTGACTCTGCTTGATCATAATTTGTATTTTTAAATGCTTTGCTATTACATCCCTAACAATAAACACTAACATTTTCCCAAAAACAGACGTTAAGCTAACTGGCCTAGTTACCTTTTTTTTGTCTCCTCTTTTAAAATAAAGGTGTTTCATTGGCAGTTTTCCAATCCTGTAGGACTTTTTGGAATCTAAGGATTCCTGGACGGTTACTACCAGTGCACTTGCTATTTCTTTATCTACTTTCTTTTATTATTCTAGAATCCATCCCATTAAGTTTAGTGGGCTTATTGATCTTTTGCCCCACTAATTTCCCTTGAACTTGTTCTGCAGTGATTGTAGTTGTACTTATTTCCTCTCATCCTTTTGCCCTTTGATTAGTTAATCATTTTGGAATGTTATTAGTGTCTAATAATACTATGAAGAATGATACAAGCTATTTATTCAACTTCTCCGCCATTTCCTACCACATTATTATTTCCACACATCATTCTCTAAGGGGGCTATGTTCACTTTGGCTTCTTGCTTCCTTTTTATACAATCAGAGAAGCACTTGCTGTCCATCTTGTTATTACCTGCAAGTTAACTTCAAAGTTTTTTTTTTGGTCATCTTTTATTGTTTTTTATAACTTTGCCAATCCTCTGGCTTACCACTAATGTTTGTCACATTGTATGGTTTTTTTCTTTCAATTTGATGCTATCCTTAACTTCCCTGGTTAACCATGGTTGATTTTTCCCCTTCCTAGAATCCACCTTCCTCAGTGGAATATATCTTTACTGTGGGCCATGAAATATTTTCTTCAACATCTGTCATCGTTCATCAACCGTCTTTGCTGCTAAACCCTTTTCCTAGTACATTCCTGCCAACTCACCCTCGTTCCTTTGAAATTAATTTGCAGATGACACCAAAATTGGAAGTGTAGTGGACAGCAAAGAAGGTTACCTCAGTACAACGGAATCTTGATCAGATTGGCCAGTGAGCAGAGGAGAGGCAGATGGAGTTCAATTTAGATAAGCGTGAGGTGCTGCATTTTGGAAAGGCAAATCAGGGCAGGACTTACAAGCTTAATAGTCAGGTCCTGGGGAGTGTTGCCGAACAAAGAGACCTTGGAGCTGAGGTTCATATTCTTTGAAAATGAAGTCGCAGGTAAATAGGATTGTGAAGAAGGTGTTTGGTATGTTTGCCTTTATATGCATTGAGTATAGGGGTTGGGAGGTCATGTTGTGGCCGTACAGGACATTGGTTAGGCCACTTTTGGAATACTGCGTGCAGTTCTCGTCTTCCTACTGTAGGAAGGATGTTATGAAACTTGAAAGGGTTCAGAAAAGATTTACAGGGATGTTGCCAGGGATGGAGGGTTTGAGTTACAGGGAGAGGCTGAATAGACTGGTGCTGTTTTCCCTGGAGCGTTGGAGGCTAAGGGGTAACCTTATAGAGGTTTATAAAATCACGAGAGGCATAGATAGGGTGAATAGCCAAGGTCTTTTCCCCAGGGTAGCGGAGGCGAAACGTAGAGGGCACAGGTTTAAGGTGAGAGGGGAATGATTTTAAAGGGACCTAAGGGCCAACATTTTCACATAGGGCGGTGCGTGTATGGAATGAACTGCCAGAGAAAGTGGTGGAGGCTGGTACAAATACAACATTTAAAAGGTATCTGGATGGATATATGAATAGGAACGGTTTAAGAGGGCTATGGGCCAAATGCTGGCAAATGTGACTAGATTTATTTAGGATATCTGGGTGGCATGGATGAGTTGGACTGAAGGGTCTGCTTCCATGCTGTACATCTCTATGACTCTAGTTACTTCAGCTTAGCATGCTTGTTTCTGACCCAAGCTCTTCCCAATAAAATAATGCTAACTTCTACCATGTTATGGTCAGTATTTCCAAGGGAATCTTTTACTCTAACATCACTATTAAAGCTGCCTCAGGTGCAAAATAGCCTGATCCCTAGTTGGACCCTTTTCATCTAAGCCACTCTTTGAGCCATGCATTTAACTACTTCACTCTATTGATCCTATGCTCATTTGCCTGTGGCTCAGGTAGTAATCCAGAGATTGTTACCTTGGAGGTTCTGTTATCTAACTTAGTTCCTAACTGTTAAAAAATCTTTTAAGCAAATCCTCCTTTCTAGTCCCACCAATGACATTGCTACCAACATGGACAATGGCTGCTGGATCCCTCCCTCTGCAAGTTCTTCTATAGCCCCAAGGAGATGTGCCTAACCACAGCAAAGGGCAGACAACAAAGCCTTTGGATCAGCTGCAAAGAATATAACACCCTAATTATGTCGTCCCCTCCCATAACTACATTCCTATTTCCATTGCCCTCTTGAATTCCTCCCGGTACCAAAGTGCCATTGTCACTTTGCGCAGCTTGCACCCTGTTGGGATGATTGCAGGGACTGAGGCTCCACAATTGCCTCGCCAGCAGTTACACCCTCCTATCCCGATCATAGGCTGGTGTTGAATTACCTAGCCTGAGGGGTGTGATCACCCTCTGGAGCAAAGAGTCAAGGTAACTTCCTTCTTTTCTCCTCCTCCTCCTTCAACAGCCCTCTCCAACTCCTCAACTCTGATTCAAAGTCTCTCAAGCCACAGGCACATAGTACAGATGTGTTCACTCTAGATCATGTTGGTGCCCAGCAGCTTGTGCATGTTGCAACAGCTGTAATGATAACATGTCTATGTAAACTAAAAAGAAAGAAAAATCATCAATATCAATATAATACTTAAGCAGTATCTTTATAAGAAAAGAGAGAAAAAACAATGCTAGAGATCTAATCACAAAATGAAGACCTCACTTTTACTTCAAAGACTAGAAATGTTCACCAATCCTATTCACCAACCAAATTCTTGCTTCACACGTTTGTCATGCTTGGCATTGTTTTTGCTTGGTGAGTTTTGGGGTGCCACGTCACACTGTGACATCACCCTGGCTCAAGTCTCATGAACGAAGGCATTGTGGCTCACACTGACCTATTGACTGCAATGGGTTTTCATTTATTTTATGCACTGTGGTACATTTGCTGTTTACAGCGCACAAGTTAGTGTTTTGGATGTCTCAAGTTAAACTTGTGTTGAAGATTTTGTCCTGTCTTCTGCTGTTTTAGGAAAGGCTGCCTTGGATACCTGAAGGAGCTTCCAAACGCAGAAAAATGGAGGTTGATGCACCAAAACGTAAAACGGTTAGTGAAGATTTAGATTGTAAATGAGTGATCCAAATTTCTATCAGTACTTTATCATGAAAGATGCTCTTCCTCTGACAGGAGCGAGACTTGGAGTTGGAGTTGGGTGATGATTATGTCCTGAACCTCCAGAGTAAGTAATTATTTGAAATATATGTTTTTTTGCCATAGTCCAAATAATAAAATAACCACTGTTAAAATTATAATTGATGTTTTGATCATTTGACATTATTCTTAGTAAAATCTGTAAATTGTGCCTCTTCAAAAGTGATCCCTGCCAGATAAATCATTAGTTAGACCGGCAGACATAAAGTTTTAATTAGGAGCAGATGTAAAAGTTAATTTTCAATGTTGAACCCGGCAAGACGTTAGAATTTGTAAACAAGGGGAGTCAGGAAGAAGAACAGATTATCAAGAAAGATAACTTCCATCCCATGTTCAATGAAGACCTGTAATAACTAATTTATGACATTGTAATTACAACACCACTAACACCTTGTTTACTGCAGATGCTGGAGATTCTGAGATATCACGGTGTAGAACTGGATGAACGCAGCAGGTCAAGCAGCATCAGAGGAGCGGGAAGGCTGACGTTTCGGGCCTAGACCCTTCTTCAGAAATGGGGGAGGGTAAGGGGGTTCTGAAATAAATAGGGAGAGAGGGGGAGGTGGATAGAAGATGGATAGAGGAGAAGATAGGTGGAGAGGAGACAGACAGGTCAAAGAGGCGGGGATGGAGCCAGTAAAGGTGAGTGTAGGTGGAGAGTTAGGGAGGGGATAGGTCAGTCCAGGGAGGACGGACAGGTCAAGGGGGCGGGATGAAGTTTGTAGGTAGGAAATGGGGGTGGGGC